TTGGAAAAACAACTGACCTGGAAAATAGATCCAGGAGAGAGAATTTAAAAATTATTGGACTATCTGAAAGCCATGATGCAAAAAAGAGCCTAGACATCATCTTTCAAGAAATTATCAAGGAAAACTGCCCTAATATTTAGAACCAGAGGGCAAAATAGAAAGTGAGAGTCCACCAATCACCTCCTGAAACAGATCCCCAAAGGAAAACTTCTAGGAATATTGTAGCCAAATTCCAGAGTTCTCAGGTCAAAGAAAAAATATTGCATACAGCCAGAATGAAACAATTCAAGTATTGTGGAAACACTATCAGGATAACACAAAATTTAGCAGCTTCTACATTAAGGCACTGGAGGGCTTGGAATATAATATTCCAGAGGGCAAAGGAGACAGGATTTCAACCAAGAATCACCTACCCAGCAAAACTGAATATAATCCTTCAGTGGGAAAAATGGTCATTCAGTGAAATAGAAGACTTTCAAGCTTTCTTGATGAAAAAACCAGAGCTGAACAGAAAATTTGACTTTCAAATACAAGACTCAAGAGAAACATAAAGAGGTAAATGAGAAAGAGAAATCATAAGTGACCAATTAAGGCTGAACTGTTTACACTCTTGTATGGAAAGATAATATTTGTAACTCATGAGACCTTTGTCAGTATTAGGGTAGTTGGAGGGGGAATAATTATATGTATGGAGAGAGAGAGAGAGAGAGAGAGAGAGAGAGAGAGAGAGAGAGAGAGAGAGAGAGAGAGAAGAGATGGCACAGGATGAGTTGAAGATGAAGGGGTGATATCTGGAGAATAAAATTAAGGGGCGAGAGAGGATTATACTGGGAGAAGGAGAATGGGAGAGGTAGAATGGGGTAAATTATCTCACATAAAACAGACAAGAAAAGGCTTTTACAGTGGAGGGGAAGAGGCAGAAGGTGAGAGGTAATGAGTGAATCTTATTCTCATTGGACTTAGCTTAAAGAGGGAATAACATACATACTCAATCGGGTATGGGAAGCTATCTTACCCTACAGGAAAATAGGGGGGAAGGCGATAAGAGAGTGGGGAGATGATAGAAATGAAGGTAGATTGGGAGAGGGAGTAGTCAGAAGCAAATACTTCTGAGGAGGAACAGGGTCAAAAGAGAGAATAGAATAAATAGGGAGCGGGATAGGATAAAGTGAAATGCACTTAGATTTTTACAACATGTCTACTATGGAAGTGTTTTGCATGATTACACATGTATAACCTGTATTGAGTTGCTTTCCTTCTCAATGAGGGTGGGTGGGGAGGGAGGAAGGGAGAAAATTTGGAATGCAAAGTTTTAAAAACAAATGTTAAAAAAAATTGTTTTCACATTCAACTGGGAAATAAGATGTACATGAGATGAGGTATAGAAATCTATCCTGACCCACAGGGAAATTGAAGGGGAAAGGAGATAGGAGAAGGAGGGGAGAGATAGAAGGGAGAGCAGATTAGGGGAAGGGGTATTCAGAGTGCATGCCATTTGGGGATGGCGAAGGGACAAGATGGGGAGAAAATTTAGAACTAAAAATCCTGTGGAAGTGAATGTTGAAAACTAAAAATAAATAAAGATTTTAAAAAGATTTTGGATCTTTTCTTCTAATTGGCAGACTTTCTTTTCATAATCTTGGGGTTTTTTGGATTTTTTTTTAGGTTTTCCTCAATCTCTCTCATTTGATTTTTAAAGTCTTTTTCAAGTTCTTCTATGAATTCTTTTTGAGCGGGAGATCACTTGACATTACTCTTTGGGGTAGAAGACAGTTTCTTTGCTTCAGTATCCTCCTCTGAAGATTAATTCTGGTCTTCTCTATTCCCATAGTAACTCTCTATGGTTAATTTTTTTTCTCCTTTGCCTATGCTTTTTTTTTTTTATTTTGTAGTAGCTCAGTTTTTATAATCACTTCAGGTCCTGCGGTATGAGGCAATGGTGCCTCTGACCTTAAATCTTCCTTCAGTTCTCCCCTCTGCTTTAGAACTGGAACCAAGACCTCCAGCTTTGTGTAAGTGCCCACAGCCAGCAGCATGTCTACCCCAATGCTTTTGCACCCACCAGGCATATGCTGCTTCCTTCTCACTCTGGCCATGTCTCTGCAGCACAGCTTGGTCTGGCATTCTTTATCAACAGAGGTTCCCTCAATCTTCCCTAGCTTAGATGCCCAACACCCATCACTATTCTAGCAGGAAAAGTTTTTGTGGTTGGGGTAGAGGCAGCCTTGTAACCCAGCTAACCCCATGGCTTGCTGCTTGTTATTTAAATGGGTCTATGATTTAACCTGGAGGTGTTTACTCTTCACATGGATCAGACCTCATCCTGGAACTTTTCTTCAGATCTTCTCCAATTGTCCCAGGAGGATTCCTCTTCTGCCCCTACTTTTATTTATTTTACTGCTAAATATTTGCCTTAAGGCACTATTTCATCTCTCTTGTGGGGGAAAATCTTGACAGCTTGGAATTTTCTGACCTACTGTGCCATTTTCCCAGAATACTCTCCCAGAGATCCATAATTTTAAGGAAGAAAACAGCTCCTTGAAAATCAAAAATGGGCAAGGAGAGGCTAGCAAAGTTATGAGATCAAGAAATAGTAAAAACAAAATATAAAGAATGAAAAATAGAAGAAAATGTGAAACATCTCATAAGAAAAAAAATGATCTGGAGAACAGATCAAGAAGAAAAAAAACATAAGAATAATTGAACTACCTGAGAGCTATGATCAAAAAAAGAATCTTGATACAATAATACAAGAAATGATTAAAGACAATTGTCCTGAAGCTGTTGAAAATGGCAGGAGAGTAGAAATAGAAAAAAAAATCCACAAATCACTACCTGAAAGAGATACCATGAAGAAAACCATAGGAATATCATGGTTAAATTCTGAAACCGTCAGCTCAAGGATAAAATATTATAACCATCAAGAAAAAAAAAACATTCAAATATGGTGGTTCCACAATTAGAATCACACAAGACCTGGCAGCAACACTAAAAGACTGCATGTCTTGGAACATTATATATATTGAAGAACTAAAGAACTGGGGTTCTGGCCAAAAATATCATACCCAGCAAAACTAAGCATAATCCTCAATGAAAAAGAATGGACACTTAATGAATTGTCAGACTTTCAGGATTTTGTCATTAAAAAAAACTGAACTTGATACAAGATTTAACATACAAGAGCGAAGAGAAAAATAAGGTACATACCAAAGACTAAGTACAAGGGACTCAACAAAGACAGAGTGTTTACCTTTTATGTATGTAAAATATAAAATGTAAGTCTAAGTTGTTATTAGCAATTGTGTAGCTCATAAGAAAGTGGGGTAGACCTTAGTATGGTATGATTTTATAAAGTAAAACCATTTAGGTGCAGCTAAAAAGAATAATTATCTTATACAAATGAGGTGCAAGAGGAAGAACCAACACAGAGGAATTAGAAGGGGGGAGGAGTGCTCTTATTTAAAGAAATAAAAAGCGAGGAAGATAAGCAGGTGGAGAGGATGAAGAAGAGATCTTTAGAGGGGAAGATGGGAGATTAGGTTAAGGGGGGGGTATAGAAATGTGTCTAGATTAATGTGAATGAGAGGGCAAGGGAATGATTCTTGGAAGGGGGATAGGTTAAGTAATAGCAGGGCAAGGTAGCCAGTAGAAGTAAAGTTGAGGAGTCAGGAGAGATAGGAAATAAGAGATACACACAAATGTAAAATAAAGATCAGGAGTAGAATTTGTTAGGAAAAAAAGGAGCAGGGGTGGTAATCATGATCTTGAACAAGGTTATGGCTAAAATAGATTGAATCAAAAGAGAAAAATAAGGAAACTACAATATGTGTCAGCCACATCTATCAACACTGTTTTGAACTATTTAAAACAACTAGACAGTACAAGAATATTACTGTGTTGTAGGAAATGGTGAGTTGGTGGACTTGGAAAAATATGAAAGACTCATACCCTCAGAGAAACAGAGGATAAATAAGTACAGTATGGTCTTATATAGATGCATATAAATGTATAGGCCTATGATTATCAATATATAAGTATATGTATATGTAAGTATATGTATATATGTATGGGCACATGTGTCTTTATGCCTATATATATATATCTTTGTGTGTATATATCTACATATGTATATTTGTATATGTCTGTATGTGTGTGTGCATCCATGCCTAATTTTAGCCTTCTTGGGTGGGAAGGAAGGAGGGAAAAAGAACAAAGTAAAAAGTGCACAGCTGAGAACAAAAGAAAGTTTACAAGGAAGCAAAGATGGACAGCTCTCAATACAATGTGTAGTATTTATTATATAGGCTTTCTTGAAATGGAAATTTATTGCTGTATATTTTGAATACTCTCATATGTTCTGCTGTATACAAGGCAATGCCTTTTTCTTTTTCTTATTTTCTATTATTTTAGTTTTAGTATTTGTTTCTTTTTTCTTTTCTTATTTTACATTTAAGTTAAAAAAAAAAAAGAAAACCAATATTCTAAGATTTCCTTTCCCCACTCCAACCAAAGAGTACTAACATTCTTTCCTAGAGAAATTGCCTAGCATTGAGCTACTAATTACAATGATGAGTGGCCCATGAATAGCTGAGTTGGAAAAGCATTGATTTAAACTCACTGTCAGAGGGTTCCATTGCCATTGCTGTTTATGTTTAGGCCTGGATTCTATACCATGAGGGACCATAGCAAAAATGGTTAAGTTCAGAATTCAAATGGAAAAACCAAGAATTATGGAAGAAATAAAATCAGGTGACCCCATCTATTCTACAGACTTAGTGTCTGGATGTCATTGAAAGGTACCTCAAGTTCTATGCCTAAATTCCTATCCTTATTACCAAAAAGATTCCATGAAGCCTTCAAGAGTCATCACATTCTATGAGCAAATTTCTAACTGTGTGTGGTTTCAATGGTAGCATGATTCAACTCCTAAGAAGAATGGAGAGGCTCACTACTTGCTCCCTTCAGGAAAATGCATCCCATTGGGTGGCTAAAAGAGTTACCTGAATTGGTCTCCCATCAGGTGTCAGAACCTCCTCTGAAAGTTCCATCATCTTCAAGGCCATCAAGGCAATGGGCTTCGCATGGCAAAGGCTCTTTCTGTGCAGTCCTGCTGCAACACAGTATGCATCGCCTATTGTTTCCACCTGCAGCAATCAGATGAATCAAATGCAAACATATGATAATGAGCTAGCATCAGAATGATACTTATCTGCAATCACACACATTGCTAAAAAAATTTCAGCAAAACATTAATAAATTAAGCAATTAGGCAACTGCACGTAATTATAGCCAAGTTTGCAAACAGTCTGAATCAAATGCTGGCACCTTGGCTCCATAGCTGTTCATCATCATTATCACCTCTGAAAATCATTAAAATCATGAACAACTGGAATGTGAAATAATTATCCCTCAGGAAAACACAATGATCTATATTACATTACAGTTGGACACATATCCACTATCAGTAATAGCACCCCAGTGATATACAGCCACCCTCCTTCTTTTCCAGATAGGCAACTAGGTAGAGCAGTGCATAGATAGTGTGAAACATGGAGTCAGGAAGACTTGAAATCAAATCTGGCCTCAGATACCTGCTGTGTAACCTTGGGAAAGTCACTTAACCTTTGCTTCAGTTTCCCTGACTATAAAATGAGGGTAATAACAGCATCTACCTAGAAAGTTTGTTTTGATGATCAAATGAGGTATTTGTATAGTGCTAAGTACAACACAGTAGGCACTACATAAATGTTTGTTTCCTTCCTGTTTCTTTCCCCATTCCATTGGCTCTTTACATGGAAATCTCCATGAAGCTTTATGTGTTAAAATATCCTCCAACCCCAACATATTAACTCCTCCAGTACACCAATATACCTGAAATTCCTATCATAAGAGAAAAATTGTTTTGACTGAAGTCATTGTCCATTTCTTATTTAAGATATAAAATATCACTAGAAGGGATATCACATCAAACTTTTACCACGTTGGCCTGAATTTGTCTAGCAGAGAGTAACAAGCCAGTTTTACGTTCCATAGAACATAGGGCAGATGAGCAGGGAAGATATTGATCAATCCATATAATAGATCCCTGCCTAGGGATGGTAGACAAATGCAAGTGCACCACACCAGTGAGGGAGCTAGGTGGCCATGTGCAAACATTTAGCATCTCAAACTGAAAAGGAGGTATGAGGATAATGGAGATAAATTTTATCTACTACAAATTTGCACAGAAGTTTGTTTTATTAGTCATGCATCTACTTCATGTTAGTTCCATGTGACACATGAATTTTGTTCTTCTCATATCTCTCCCACCAAAGAATATATCCAATTCAACATTTTTTAGTTCTCTTTTGCACTAGGAACTGTGATTACATTGACAAAAACAAAATAGTCCCTGCCCCCAAGGATCTTATATTCTATGGGAAGGATAAAGTTTGTAATAAGAGCAATAATGGTATTTACATGGAACTTCAAGGTTTGCAAAGTGCTTTACATATAATATCTCCATTGAATCCTCACAAGTCTGTGAAGGGAATATTATCACATTATGTACACAAATAATTACATGATAATTTGGAGAGAGACAGAGAGAGGGAGAGACAAAGAGGAAGAGAGAGGAAGAAAGAGAGGGGAAAGAGAGAGTGAGAGAGAGAGAGAGAGAGAGAGAGAGAGAGAGAGAGGGAGAAAGAGCGCTCAGGTTTCACATGAGCTTGTCACGAGTAAGGGACTGAAATGACTTGCTTGGAGTGACATAGCCAATATATGTCTGAAACTACATCAATCCAGGTCACTATGACTCTGATGTCAGCTATCTATTCATTACATCAAGTTGCCTCTTAGTAATATGATTCATAATTGTAATTTGCCCTTTGATATTCATGTATTTCCTCTCCTCATTGCTATCCCAAATCTGGATTTTTTTTTTTTTTTGGTAAGCTAGCCTCATAAAATTTCAAGGTCATTTCTCAAATGATTCTATATCAGCCATATCTCAATAATAATTTCCCATAACAGTGAGCATTTAGTATCTGGTGACCAATTGACTGATTGACCCATAAATTTTTTTTTCACTAAGACTCAAGGATAATGTAGCCTGACATTAAGTTTTAGAACCTTGGGGTACTCAAAGGATATACGATTCAATCCTGAAGGGGAGACATCATTTAACGTCTGTTGAAGGCAAACCTGTACGCAAGACAATGTCAATAAACAAAAAAGTATATACTGTCTTAGAAAGAAATGAAAATATACTAGACATTTGATCAGAGGTATTGCCTGATCTAATCAGAGGTGACAGAGGGATATCTCACAAGGGACCTGAACTTCATGTGTCTTTCTGATCAAAATCCTGATTTGGATCAGCAGTGAGGAGAGGAAATGTATTAAGAGTGAATAAATTAAGATAATCAATCATATTGCTAAGAGGCAGCTTGATGTCGTAGGTAGAGAACTGACCCCAGAACCAAAAAAGCCAAGGTTCAAGTCCTGCTTTTGGCACAAACTGCTTGAGTGACCATAGACAAGTCATTTAATCTCTCAGTGTTCCAAGCAGCTCCCTAAATTTTGAAATTGCAGAGATAGTGCTAAACCTATATTGGTTGAGGGAATTCCCTCACTGAGAGATCCCCATAAGCTTCCAGTGAGTGGTAGTAGGGCATTCACACTGGAAGAAGAGTAGCACCTCTGACCAAAAAGTATCTGCATCTGTGAGGGCTAGTGGGACAGATGGGCATTACCTATGAGTAACCAAGATGGAATTGATAAGTAACAGGGAAGATGAAGCTAAGAAGATATTCACAGGTAGTAGCAGCTGGGGTGAGTAGATACTAAGAATATGTACATTTTAAAACTGTTTTAACTATTAAAAACACAAACATCCATACCAATCATTAGTATATTTATACTTCCCACTTCATGAATACTAAGTCACAGATTGTAAAGACAAATGTGCAAAAAAAAAAGTGTAGCAGCTGAGATCACTCACGATCATAGAGTGGGTCCCCTGGACAAGGCAATCCCAGGTTCAAGGTACTGTATAAGTCCTAATCCCATAAAAATATAGTTCATGAGCCCCTGTGGAAACATTTGCCTTTAATACAATTACTTCAAAGCAAAGGCATTTAATGAAAATAGTATAGTAAAATTAAAATTAGCAATAAAACTTTCCCAAATAAGCCTGGGGCACCCCCACAGCATATATACACATTAGTGGGAATGATGGATGCATACATTATACATATACAGGGCAACCACATGAGAAAACATGGACAGGACACAGGCATGAAGGGGCAACTGACTCTGACACTAAAGAACTGTAATATTCTGGTGATGTGATGGTTGCAGACCAACTCTCCAGTGGTTTCTACCAAACAAGTTTTCTCTTCCATGTTTACTATCTCTCCTGGGCATATTATCTCTGCAGATGTTTCCCTCCACTGGAACCAGTATCTGCCAGATGCTGCTTTGCTGGATGTGTGGTTACTGCAGAAAAATACCAGGTCTGGCTCTTCTGGGCACATGGTTATGAATCTCCCTGTTTTTCAGAGTGATAGTTTTTCATCAAGAGTAGAGTAGTCTCAACTTCCACTTCTGGTAGCCAAGATGGTGGAGTAAAAAGGTAGTTGCTGTCACCCTCCTCTATCAACCTCTGAAGACCCAGAAAATATCACCCCAGAAAAAAACCCTGGAACAGTTGAACTAGAAGAAAGATGGGGAACAGCAGTGCAGCAGCACAGCAAACCTGTCTCCCAGTGCCTCAGCAAAAATAAGGGAAGCAGCACTACAAAAAGGCCCCAGGCAGATGAGCACCCTGCAGCATTCATCTGAAAGGAGCTGAAGAAAACAACCTAGAGTATTCCTAAAGTCCCAGCCTTGCTGATTCCAACCCAACACCAGGTAAGCTGTCTCCAACTTTCAACCAGGAGGAGATCCTGAAGCCCAGGTGGTAGAACAGGCAAACAGCAACATGGTACCTCAGTCAGTGCAGGGGAACTGGTGGAAACCAGCTCAGAAAGCCACTCGGTGCCTCAGCACTGTACCTCAAAGGAATCTCCCAATGTATTAGCAGAAACAAGGGAGGCAGCATTGCAAGGGGCCCCAGGCAGATAAACACCCTGCAGCACCCATCTAAAAGGAGCTGAAGAAAGCTAAAGGAAAGGAAAAGCAGGCAACCTAGAATTGCCTGAAAGTTCCAGCCTTGCTGATTCCAGCCCAATGCCAGGTAAGCTGCCAGAACCCTACAGCCTCCAATTGCCAACATAAGAGGCCCCAGCACACAAAGCCAGTGACCAAGACCTAGGCTCCCAACACAAGAAGCTTGGGTCAGTGCCCTCTGTTCCCCAGCAGGAGAGCTCAATCTCTTTAAAGGCCCAGGAATAAAAAAAAACCATGAGTAAAAAGAAACATACTATAGATTCATATTATGAGAAGAGTGAAGATCAAGACAGAAATTCTGAAGAGGACAACATTGTCAACAAACCCACATCTGCAACAACAAAAGGGAATATGAACTGGTCTGAAGCCCAAAAAGCCTTCTTAGAAGAGCTCAAGAAGGATTTTAAAAGTCTAATGAGAGAGGTAGAAGAGTCCTTAAAAAATACAATTGGCCAATTGGAAAAAAAGTACACTGAAGAAAACAAGTCCCTAAAAAACACAATTGGCAAACTGGAAAAAAAAGTACACTGAAGAAAACAAATCCCTTAAAAATACAATTGGCCAATTGAGAAGGAAGTAAAAAACTAACAGAAGAAAACAATCTGTTAAAAACTAGAATTGGACAAATGGAAACTAATGACTCTATGAGAGAGCAAGAATCAGTTAAACAGAAACAAAAAATGAAAAAAAAATAGATGAAAACGTAAAATACAACATTGGTAAAACAACTGACCTGGAAAATTGATCCAGGAGAGACAATTTAAAAATTATTGGACTACCTGAAAATCATGATGAAAAAAAGAGCCTGGACAGTATCTTTCAGGAAATCATAAAGGAAAACTGCCCTGAAGTCCTAGAACCAGAAGGTAAAATAACCATAGAAAGAATACACCACTCACCACCTGAAAGAGATCCCAAATTGACAACTCCAAGGAATATAATAGCAAAATTCCAAAATTACCAGATGAAAGAGAAGGTGCTGCAAGCAGCCAGA